ATATTTGTTTTCATTTGTTCTTTGAAAACTGAAATAAAACTTGGATCCGGACACCATGAGGCACGTCCAGTTCCTGGCCCGCACAGTGCTCGTGCAAAATAACAATGTGGAAGAGGCCTGTCGCATGCTCAATCGCGTGCTGGGAAAGGAGGAGATTCTAGACCAGTTTCGCCGCACGCGTTTCTACGAGAAGCCCTATCAGGTGGGTGGAGTGCCCTGTTCTTAAACATGTCGAAGCGATCCTAGGCTCATTCTTATCGATCTCTTTTAGGTGCGTCGCCGCGTCAACTTCGAGAAGTGCAAAGCCATCTACAATGAAGACATGAACCGCAAAATACAGTTTGTGCTCCGCAAGAACCGGGTGGAACCATTCCCTGGCTGCAGTTAGTTATGTTCCCTCTCGTAGAGTTCTTAATGTAATAAATCTAAGAAAACTTGTTGGTAAATGGATAATGTATGCAAGATTAGAGCATGTGGGAACAGAAAGGAATGTAGTCAAACACTCGATCTATTTTAGAGTTTTTGATAAGTCTTTTTCAGTCTTTTAATTGTTTTGTGAAAGAGCATTCAAACAATCAGATGGAAACAGCGCTTCAACTGGCGCAGTTTTCTTTTAAAAGCTTCCAAAGCTTTAGCAAAGAAGCAAAAAACCACCTTGCACCTGGTCCCAGGTGAACTGGGTGGACGAAAGGTGTTTCAGGGTATGCTGCGGAGAGCGTTAATAAGTGTAGGTTTGAGGCTGCTAATTGTAACATTTTAATCGTTCTACATATATTTATTGATTTCAAACTATGTTAGGTCAGATACACATTTTATTTTCTCAAAAAGGCTATTTTAGTTTTAGTTCTGTGAAGCTATTTTCGATATGCCAAAGCAATGAATGCTTGGGCTACTTAGCGACATGCTTAATATAACTTGCACACATAAATATTAGGTAAAGAGCATGAAAGAGAACATTTTGGTCCCTAAAAGAGAGCGTTCTAAGGCCCCTCACACTCATTTTTCTTATACCTTGTCGGACTAACAGTGCTAACGGTACTGCTGCTGGGTTTATACATTTTCACCCTTCGAACGCAACGGACGTGTTTTCTTTCTATTAAATCCACGAGGTAACATTGGCTTGAAAAAGTTTTGCCAATTGCCAAATATTTGTAAATTTTGTTAACCAATGGCTCATTTGTAGCATACTTTTTCGAGATATTCTAGAATGCAAACTTATTTGTTCGATAAAGTGCGTTGCGCCCAAAGCGTGCGCGTTCTTGTTTGTACATGTGTGTGCTTGTGTTGTGTATGTGTTTATGGTGCAATTGCAGCAGCGCTGCAAACACTTGTCTCTGTCTCTGGGGCGGCCGTTTTATTTGGCCCACAAGGGGGATTCCAAAACGTGCTTAAGTGTTCCGCTGCTTCAATGACATCGATAATTCGCTTATGCGGCCAATTTACTCAATTCACGCCAAAAGAAAAGCTTTCCGTGTATTGTGTGTGCTGTGTGTGTGGGAATTTGATGGCGCAGTGGGAGCAAAAGTTGGCATGTTTGGGTCTTTGTTGTTGTCCGTCTCCTTGCTTCGCCTCTTTTCATACCCGTTATTTGTTGAGGAATGGGCATATGCGCTAGTCAGATGTGCAATTGTAGAAAGAGGAGGGAGAGCCCTTGACACAGTAACTTATTATTGATATTCTCCTTCAGTGCTGCTTACACGTCGGTTAAGCAGTTACAAATTACAGTTATTATTGGGCAGACTTGCGCCTGTTGAATTCCAAGTGGCACTGCCTAGTAGGGAGTATCTTTTAGTCGAGTTGCCGCTTACTGCGTTCTTACTTGCTTTATATTTTTTACTGCTTTACTTTGGCCATTTTCTTGTTTTGCTGTTTTATCGATTTCTTGTGTTATTTTTAGCGTGATTTGCATATGTTTGTGTGTGTGTGTTTGTGTTTCGCTTTGGGGCCGTTTCATCTTTCTGTTAGTGTGAGTCTTCACTGGCAATCGCATAAATTACGTCTAAAGCAACTTTCAGATCTGGAATACACGGCGGCATGTTTACAAGCAACTTGGTGGCCATCTTCCTGCTGGCGTGCTTTGGCCTAACGCAGGCCTACCCGGCACTGCTGCCCTACATCTACAGTGAGCACAGAGATCCGGCACCGGCGTGGGTCCACTGCTAATCACGGTTGTCCTTCCCCCCACAGATCCCTCGCATCAAGCGCACGCCGTTAAGCGCAGCGATGCGGTCTTCCCCCAAATCGAGGACGATGTCGGCGAATTGGATCAGCTGCGGAAGGACCAGATGGGTGTGAGCAAGCGTAACCACGATGGCACTGCCCACACCAGCACCACCACCACCAAGGAGAGCGTTAAGGATGGTGCCGCCCCCGAGCCCCATCAAAGTGCGGACGTGAACATTCTGCCGGACCTCGAGCGACAGCTGGAGGTGGCCACGCCGCTGATATCGACCACAACCACCACGAGTACCTCTGCCACAACCACAACGGCCACATCGAAGGAGGAGAGCGAACGGTCACAGCTGGAGGAGCCGAAAACGGCCATCAAGACGGTGGTCGAGCCGACGGTTCATGCCAAGGTAAGCCCCAGACCCAGCACCCCAGCGCCCCCGCCCTACTCCCAGTCGGTAGTCTGGCTCTTTCTCCTCTCTCCTCTCTCTCTTACGCATTGTAAACACCCAAATGTGTCTTTTGAAAATCCAAGTGTATATCCACGAAACCACCCAAAAACCAACAGGCATTTTACGGTGCAGCTCGTCTAGCCTTCGGCCAAAACCCGGAGGTGTTGCCCACATCCTCGACCACAACCACAACGACAACGACAACAACCACAACACCCGCACCGCCTGAGGAACCACAGCCCGAACCGCAGCTCGAACCAGAGGCGGAGGCCGAAACTGGAGCTGGAGCTGGAGCTGCAGCTGAACACAAACCCGAAACCGAGTCTGAGCCAGAAAATATTGAGGCAACCGCCGCGGAAACCGAACTGAGCGCCCTAACACCGCCCAAGGTGGCCCAAGGACCACACAGCCACGAGCACGATGTCAACAAGGAGACCATTGGGGACATCATCTTCGATGTGGTGGCCCGCACCACGGAGCGGAGATCGAGCGCGCCGAAGATAACGGCCAAGGTTTTTATGACAAATCGATAAACGATGAACCGATACTCGATCACAGATCACAGACCATTGACCGATTGGCATTCAAATTGGCAGATTTCAGCGAAAATTTCTACTCAATGCAATCATTTTGATAAAGTTTCACCCAGCTTTGGCTGCTTGCTAATGGTTTCTCTTTGGGAATTTGTTTTCCAGACGGTTTCGGGTTTACTGCGAAGTCCCAATGGCCAGTACTCCTCCTTCGACATGGCTCAGTATATATTCTGGACGGGCGATGAGACGGCTGTGGTCAAGGCCGTGGAGGAACTAGTCAGCGGAAGAGTGGTTGGTATTTGTCCGGAAGCTGCTTAAACTTCTGCTTATCATTTCTCTCTGTCTGAGCAGATCACTCGCGAGAATGCTCTGAAGTTCTTGCAGGACATTCGTCTGGGCATTGAATTCCTGCAGCGTTCCTATGCCAATCGCATCTTCCCCGAGGAGGTGCGCCAGAATCAGCTGAAGCGGCATAGTCCTCCCATCCCCACAGTTCCATCCACAACATCCACAACGTCCACTACGACTACCAGCACCACGAGCACAACTACGGAGAAACCCTTCCCGGATGTGCATGCCCCGCTGGCAGGTGCCGTGCCAGTGAAAACCTTTGATAGCTTCAACTTTTGGAACAAGCTAAAGGACATGGACACTGAGGCGCAACAAGGTGGGCAGCCATCAAGCTGAAATATGAGTCTTTATTTAATGTTAAACTAATTTCTTAGAGCTCACGGACTATGACGAGGGTCGTGCCAAGATTGTGGAGTATCTGTACAACGAGTACTCCCTGGAGGAGATACTCTACAAGCTTGCAAAGGTAACAAGACTCACTTGATAGCTCTGTAATCCATTGATTATCCTTCTGCTCATTAGGTAATGTTTGCCCAATCCCTGGCCCATGGCTCCGATGAGGCACAAATGGAGCTGCAAAAGCTAACCGAATTCCTAGAGCACGAGGGCAACCTAGGCGTCATACCCATTGACTTGCAGAAGAAAGTGTTAAGTGAGTGTTCGATAGAGATAAAACAAAGTTCAGTTAACGAATCTGTGAATTTGCAGGAGTGCTGCTCAGCGCCTTGTCGGATACATTGACCGAGCATCCGGAACTGTTGCCGGCAGCGCGCGTTAATCTGGCTAATCCGTTTTACAGGCTTCCAATGCATACTCCCAGTAGCCAGTAGAGCAACAAGTTATCAGAATATATAATATATAAATCTATCTATATATAAATCAAATTATATAAATGTAAACATGCATAATCCACATCAGCTAACAGCAAACCGCAAACAGCAAACAGAATTGAAGATGCGCTCTCTCGGAATTGCCTAAGGATTAACCTCCCCCTATGTTATGTATTGTGTGTGTGTGTGTGTGTGTGTGTGTGTGTGTAGATCGATTGGCACTTCCATGTTGATTTTAATGTAATATAGCAAAAGATTATCGTGATATATAGTTTTCTCCTACGTACACACACACAGCAGCGAGAGACTTGCCCAAGTTTGAGCTTTAGAATATTTACTGCATTGAAAATGATTGCTTATATTTGATATGAGTTAGTTAGGAGCAATGAGGTTGAGCGGTGAATCTTTGCTTTTGGTTTTTAGTGGAAAATGAAGCAGGAATGGGCTCTGAGTCCGCATATATCAGTAGAGCAAACAGCAGACACAATAATAACACTTATTAGACGTTCCCCCCCCTTCCCCCCACGCAGTAATTGAACATTTGTGCATTATTAATGGATTGGTTAACCGATTGATTGTTTTGTTGTGTGTTACATATACGATATGCAAAAAATATGTAAGAACTAGAGAAAATGTATCAAGTAATATCGATTATACACCTAAAATACAGATAAATATATATATAAAATTCGATTGTTCTATTGCTCCTTCTTGGGCTCCGCTGATTTGTCTGGCTTGTCCAGCAACTGGTTGATGCGCTCCTCCGACAGCGGTTCGTTGCTGTTGAAGAGCTTCTCAATCTCGGCCCTTTCATCGTCTCCCAGCTCCTTGGCATACTGCTTGGCCATGTCCTCCAGACGCTGTTGGTTCTGCTTCAAGTGTCCCGGCAACCAGAATACAGTCTGCACCATTCTGCAATTAAAATCGGAGCTACAAGAAGACTTCCTTTCAGCAGTGGTCCCTTGCACCTACTTGATCAGCACAAAGCCACAGAATGCCAGCAGCAGGCACAGCCCAGAGGTCTTGAGCATCGTCCAATAGTCAACCAAAACTTGCTGATTCTTCATTTTGGGGCTTAGATTTTCGCTTAGTTACACACCAAACGCGTCAAAAATGTTTTAGAGACTGTCATATGTGGTTGTGCGGACAAGTCCGCTCTCCACACAGGAGACAATGTTGTGGTCAAGTGTCAAGAGCGTCGTCATGGGCAGCCAACACAAGGCATACGTGGACGTGCACCCACCATGCACCCAATCATGTGTGGTTGCCAGAAATCAATAAACAATTTGCTCTGATTTCAGTTAACGAGCGTGAAAAATGCACACAGAAATGTGACTCAAGCCCTACATCAACATGTGGCCAATCATCATCATCAGCATCAGCATCAGCAGAGGTGCTAATGAAGTGCGCACAGAAATTCCTGTGAAAGTGTCGTCTTTTGTAATCGCACTTTCTATTTATAACAATTATCGCTGCATAAATGATATTATAGAAAAACAAAAGCCAGTCAAAATAGTATTTTGGGTTGGTTGAAGTATTAGACTGGAATATACCTGGTGGGAAACATTTTTATTTGAAATTTTAATGGTGGAACTAGTCTGTCGGGGATTACAAGCTTTTAGGAGTTATTCCTACCAAAACGCTGCAGATATTTTTCACTATTTGTGTACATATACCGCCCCAATAAATCAGGGATATTTCTTTAATACTGTTTAATGGATTATTTTGGATTTTTGGGTGGATTTTGCGTATACCTTCATGCAGTTAGATTGGTTCTAACAAGAATTCTTTGTACCACTTTCTATGCCCCACAACTTCCTTCAAGAAATAATCAGCCAGCAAAGTCTTAAAGAGAATCTTAACCCATTAAATAGCCACTGTTCCAGCCTCATATATGACTAATTGGACACAACATAAAACCTTTATAATATCTTTAATAGTTGTCTAAATTTCCAATATTTCCCAAGTTAACTTTTTCATCTGATCAATTTGTTTCCCCTTTCTCATACATCACACCATCACACACCACGAAAAGTGCAACACTCCCTTTAACTCCTCTTGATTGCTGGGTATCAAAATAATTGAAAAATGATAATAAAATCAGGTGTTTGGGGTGGTGGGGGGTCCCTGGTCTTCGATCGTAAATTGAAAACCAAACCAATGATTTCAATCAGAACAAGAAACTGATTAGAGGACCCAAGACAATCTATCTCTCTGCATAATATATTATATATCACTGATTCCAGGGGGGTCACTGCGTATGCGAACACGTTCCAGTCGGGTCTCTATCAGCAGACAATAAATCTGATGGCTACCAGAACTACTCCTATCTGGACAGATAATGCTCAGCGGAATGCTATAAAAGGAGCAGTCAAGGGTTGTTCGAACCACAGTTGAGCGATGAGAGGAATCCTACAATTATCCATAGTGCTGATCGGCCTGGGGCTGGTCCTGGCTGGCAGCCGACCCATCTCCGATTGCGTAAGGGAAAGAGCTAAGTGTGAGTGGCCCAGTTCTTATCTCAGATTTAATTCCAGGGCGAGCGCATTCAGGACGATGGCTACCCGATGGAGCGTCATAAGGTGACCACCAGCGACAGCTACATCCTGACGATGCATCGCATTCCGTACTCCCCGAAGACGGGCAACACCCCGAACAGGCCGGTTGCCTTTCTGATGCACGGCATGCTCAGCTCCTCCTCCGATTGGGTGCTCATGGGTCCCGGCAAGGCGCTGGCCTACATCCTCGCCGATGCTGGCTATGATGTCTGGATGGGCAATGCTCGCGGCAACACCTACTCTAAGGAGCACAAGTACTGGCCCACCTTCTGGCAGCTCTACTGGAACTTCAGCTGGAACGAGATCGGCATCTACGACGTGCCCGCCATGATCGACTACACTCTGGCGATCACTGGGCAGAAGCAGGTGCAGTATGTGGGCCACTCCCAGGGCACCACCGTGTACCTGGTGATGGTCTCCGAGAAGCCCGAGTACAACAACAAAATCAAGTCCGCCCATCTGCTGGGCCCAGCCGCTTACATGGGTAACATGAAGAGTCCCATGACTCGCGCCTTTGCACCCATTCTCGGCCAGCCCAATGCCATGGTGGAACTCGTCGGTTCCATGGAGTTTATGCCCAGCAATAAGTTCAAGCAGGATTTGGGCATTCAGATGTGCCAGGCGACGTCCCCCTACGCGGAAATGTGCGCCAATGAGGTCTTCCTTATCGGTGGCTATGACTCTGATCAACTGGATTATGTGAGTAGATGTTTTCCCTGTAGAGTTAAGTTGGTAAATGGAACACTGAAGTGAACTCAACTGAGAGGATAATCAGTAACGTTTTAGGCATGTCCGTTTGTCAGTGATCATCTCAGATGAACAGAGATCAGCGTTCCCTTATGTCATGTATACTGATAAAAGTCAGAACAAAATAATCAAAAAATCACTGCCAGATCGCGAAATCGACAACCCAGAATAATAAACAACGATCTTATCTATCAGATAAGATAGGATCGTTGCGATTGGATCTTTGACACGCTCGTGTCAGTCTCGCTCTCTCCCAGTGTGTCTTAGCTCTAGCGTTCTCCCTCTCCCAGTGTGGCTTAGTAGCTAAACTTTAAATTCCAAACACTTTCTTTCAGGAACTGCTGGAGCACATCAAGGCCACCTCCCCCGCAGGCGCTTCCGTCAATCAAAATCTGCACTTCTGCCAGGAGCACAACTCGGGCAAGTTCCGCAAGTTTGACTACAGCGTTGTGCGCAATCCCATCGAGTATGGCTCGTACTTCCCACCCGACTACAAGCTAAAGAATGCCAAGGCACCCGTCATGCTGTACTATGGCGCCAACGACTGGATGTGCGATGTGAGCGATGTGCGACAGCTGCGCGATCAGCTGCCCAACATGGCGCTGGACTATCTCGTGCCCTTTCCCAAGTGGGCACATTTGGATTTCATTTGGGGCACCGAAGCCAAGAAGTACGTGTACGATGAGGTCTTGAAGCAGATGCGTTCTCACGAATAACTATACTGATTTGCATAATAAATTCAATTGAAATCACTCCAATTGAATGACTGCACGATAGGAGATCTTGAGCTGGTCTCCCTTTAGGAGTTTGCTCTCGATGCGGTAGTAGCCGGGCGTCAGCAGCTTCTTCAGCAGATGCACGTCCAGCGGATAGTCCTTGAGGTGATAGTGCTGCGGCGGCAGGGGACAGGCGTTCGGCTCCGGTGCATTCGAGTGTTCCTTGAGCTTCTCGTACAGGAACTCCTTGTAGTAGGTCTTCATGGCGTCGCAAACGCCGAGGCGCGGCAGATTTAGGAACTCTTCAAACTCCCCGTCGAGCGCTTCTGCTCGGTGGATGAGAAAGTGGATCTGCAAGGGGGATGTATCCAGGATTCATTGGGGATATCATGTATAGCTGACTGCCCCTACCTGCCATTCGTCGTCGATGGTCACATGCTGCTTCAGCTCACCGCTGACCTTCAGCAGATTCTCCTCATCCTCGGCTATGTGCAGGACGCTCTGCAGATCTTCCCCATCCTCGTGCAGCTTCTCCAGGCTGTGCAGCTTCAGCATGTGCTCGGCCTGCACTTGGACGACCAGCAGGACTAGGCCCAGAGCCAGCAATTGGTGTACGGATGCCCCAGATGAAGTCATTTCACTGTGGAGTGCCAGCCTGCTGGCTGGGGTCTTATAAGGATTGTACCGGAAGCAGAGCTTGTTCGTTTTTTGTTTGTCTTGTGTTTATTTAATTATTGCATGACAGACAGTCTTTACACAGCAAAAGCAACAACAGCCAGAAGCCCATTTATAAACAAATTATATATTTTAATTACTAATAGCACGGCAATGATGAAGTATAAGCTAAAACTCTACAACAATAAAAGCATCTATCAACGGTTTAACATTCGCCTAAAAAACTAAATTATTCTTTTTTTTTGTTGTGTGTGTAGCAAAGTGTCGTTTGTGTTGTTGTTTAAGTAATTGCAGCTGGAATGTTGGCATTGCGATCGGGGGATTGGGGAACAGCCTGCCGGCCAGCTTATTGCCTAATAGGAAACCATTCGGGCTGGGCCCTGCCCCGGCTAGCTGGACTTCTCATAGCCAAAGTTCAGGCGCAGCTGCTCGAGGAACACGAACGTGATCACCGTGTGCGGTCCCAGACGCACAAACGCCGGAATGTAGCCCTTGAAGAAGCCCATGGGACCCAGCTTCGCCGTGTGCCGCACAATGTCCCAGAGGCCAGTGTACTCGCCCGGCTTGGCGTTCATCGAGCGCGTCTTCAGCACATCCAGCGGCTGGGTTAGCGTCGTGGCTATGGCGCCCGCCACCAGCGAGGCGGTAAAGTGCGTCATTAGGTTGTCCTGGAAGTAGGGCGTGGCCAGCAGGTACACCTTCGTCTGGTCATAGAAAGCAATCTGTCCGATGGTCATGAGTATGCCGCGACCCGTGGCGGTGGTGGCGCCCGAGAAGAGCCGTGCGAAACCCTCCTGTCGGTACACCTTGAACAGGCCATCGATGGCGTTCTTGTAGCTGTTGGGAGTAGAAATCATAGATGATTATCTCGAGCTAATCTCGTAGAGCTTCACTTACTTTCTTCGCTGTTCAGCTGGCAGCTTCACATCGTTCTGCATCCGCACGTTGACCATGTCGGCGGGTGTGCCAATAATGCCGCCAGCCAGTCCTGAGAGACCTGCAAGGGCAATCTTGCCGCCAAATGTGTCCGTGTTGATGTACTCCTTGCCCACCTCGTACACACCGAAGCGTGTCGTGGAGTACGTCAGCTGCCGCAGCATGGAGGCGGAGAGACCGCTGTAGAAGGCGAGCACGCCCTGCTCCTTGATGATTTTGGGCACCAGCTGCAGCACCGAGAGCTTGCCCTGTTGCGTCTGCAGCGTGACCTTGATGAGGTCCAGTGGGTGGGTGCAGCAGGCAGCGCCAGCGCTGGCCAATCCCCCGAAGTACCATCGCGACTGCTTCTGTTTGGTGGTCATTTCGTCAGAGTGTGGACGTCAAGAGTGTTAGCTGGAATGGAGGAATCATAAAGAACCAATCGTTAAATGCCGCACCATTGTCGTGGAGCCTCGTTTTACCTATTAAAAACGATTCTTAATGGCATGAGGAGCGGCTATATCCTATTGCGGGACGGCATTTTAACTACATTTAGCGGCGGAGATGTTATGTCATGATGAAGCACAGCACGGAGCACACGCAGGAACTGACTGGAAGTCAGGCTTCAGTGGTAACAGCTGACCCGTGATGTCAGCGGCGACCGACTGGAAGGCTTAGCTTTAAGCTTCCGCATTGTGCGCGCGCGCATTTTGAAATGCCGCCAAAGAGGATGCCGCTGTGCGCTTAACAGCACACTGTTAGCGCTCAACAGCGCAACATGGGCGCAGATTTAGCAACATGCTGCACTCCTTAGGCCTTAGTTGACCTTTTTAAAGCATTTTTTTTAACAATTTAGTAAATAGGAAATCCCAAAAACTAGTCAATCGTGCAGATAATTGATGTATCAATCTTATAAAATTATAGTGTAAGGGCTGAAGGTCTTTTCTTGCTAGTAATATTTAAACGAATATCAAAATCGAGGAATAGGAATTCCGAACGGAAACGATTAATCCGTTGCTGACCAGCAGGGTATTTAAATATTGCAAAGAAAATAAGGAAACATAGAAATTTGTAGAGCAGTGTAGTGAAAGATGCTGTGCTCATTATTGTTGTAAATTAAGAGGAAATACTTCCTTTGCAAGAATACGTAACTAAATGTTTGATTTTTCCGGCTTAACGCAACTTGTTCATGTATTTAATTATAAGGGGGCCAAGTGGGTTAAGCACGCTCATTTCGGTATATTTAATTGATAAATCCGCGGTCACACTGCTCTACGCTCATAAACATGTTTTTTTTTTTGCAATATTTCAAATAACTAAACATTAAAAGTGCGTCTTCCCAGTCTTTGAACTCTTCCCTAATTTCGCGTGCCCGCCTATACCACTGGTAAGTGCCTGCAGCGAGTGTGTGCTGTCCGTGAACTTGCGCAACAAGTCGCCATTGCCGGTCGTCACTGCCCTTTCCCACAAAGTCTGCAAGGTTTTCGGTCGAGCGTCTCCAGTTTCGGTTTTAAGTCTACGCTGCTGTTTTTGCAATTGCATCCCAGTTGGCCCTAACATTGGCTGCCACAGGAAACTCCTATATACGGGGCACGTTGGTCGTAAGAAAAGTCACGGCAGAATTCATATGCGCAGAGCAACAGAGCGAGATGGAGAGAGACTGATAGAGGTTTTCGCATTGTTAATGCTGTTTGTGCTACTCTCGTGCAAAGACTTGTGCAAAGATTATGTACAGATTATGTACATTAAATGTTTTTCGACCTATACATATGTATGTACATAGTACATGCATACATATGAAGAATAACTGTAATGTTATCGAGTAGATCGAACAACAATGATAGCATTGTTTATCGTTCTTTTATATGTGTACAAGGTGCATACTTGACTTATATATGGATTTATCAGTGATCAAGACATTTCGATTTTGGTAGAAGAGTGTCTGGAATTTGCTTCATAACACAAGATCGGCTGACCCAAACTGAAACACGTTTCTTTCACATGATCTCATACAGCTAGGCTCAGAGCTAATACCATACTGTATAGAGTTAGTGCTCAGAGTCAATCCCGACCAGAAATATCAAAATCCAAATCAAATGGGAGAGCGGAAAATGTTGGAAAGCGCTAAATGTGCAGAGTAAAGTTTTAACAGAAACTATAACTTTTCTCTCAGTTCGAATGCTTTTTGGCTGTAAGAGTAGGATAGTTATGAATAAATATGTATTTGAAATATATGGCTAAGTTTTTAGTGCTGGAAAGAGGTCTAAAAATTGCCTATTACCATACATTTTTCACAAAATATGGCAATTTTCCAAAGGGTTTGTTTGAACTTATACGCCTAAGTGCGATCGGTTATTAGTTTTACAATTTTGTAAATAGGCAGCAGTTTACCAGCAGTTTTATCGTTAAATTCCATAACTATTCCCATAGTATAAACCCCACTGCCGCTTGCATCTACACTTTAGATTCTTAAGTGAAATTATCTTGGGTTCGAGTATATAAGCTAAAAGAAATTGGCCAATAAATCGATGTGACTACAGTTGGGGGTATCCATCCATAATGTTTGATTTTTGCCTTTGGCGGACCGCTCTCTTGGTGATTGCTTGGTTGCCATAAATAGACACGGGACTGGAAGGCGGGTCCGCGGGCACCAAATCTTTATAGACCTTTCGGCACTTATCACCATTCGATTTGTTGTTGGGTAGCCGTGTTTATGGATTGATACCGTGTTTACCATTGCTCGAAATCCCAGCCGGCAACATTATTGTTAGCATGTGTTTGTTTTCCCGGCCCTCTATTTATTTATTCAATTAATATGTATGGGGGATAACATACATTAGATGCCGACAGCAGAAGACTTTTCGCCAAACTGTTTTGTTATTTTTGTGCGTTTGGGTTTATTCTCGTCTCTGGCTGGCTGAATTTTATCTGAATATAAAACTGAATGCTGGTCAAAGTCGAATCAATAACGAGCAGCAAGTATCACATGATCCGCTGCCATATATAAATTGTTGTTTTGCCCGAATCGAGCCCCCAAAAATATTCCAACAGTTGATACAGTTTCTTCCATTTGGAAACAGCTGATTTGGGGGCCTCGCACGCGTCGCCTAGCCTAGATTAGATCATTGAATCGGGCACGCAGCATCGCGTGATAATTCAATGATTTTCCTCGGGAGATTATCTATTTGTCTGTTGCTTTTTGAGCCTTCTGTTTGCCCTGCACTCTAGCCGCAGCGCTAAATTGAATAATAAACTGACGAAAATTTGCATTTTAAAACGACTGCAGTTGTCGGGTCTCTCCCCCGGTCACAGCTGATCAGAAATTTACCTTGAACGAAAAATGCTGCCGTGTGTTTCACTGGCGTTCTTGTTTTTGCTGCTGCTGTTGCCGCTTTCCGTTAAGAAGACTTTTTTACGAAGTTTTATATTTTGGCAACACCACACCGACACAAGAGTACACGCCGAAGAGAGAGCGCAGCGCGAGAGCGAGAACCGGGAGGGAGCGAGCGACGACCTTAGTACGTCATTGCTGTCCACGAAAACTGGTCTGGGGTCTGGGGTCTGGGTTCTGGGGTTGGTGAGGGCTGCTACTGCTCCGACTGCTGCTGCTGCTGGAGGCTAGGCGCGGACGTGGACGTAACGTAACGGTCGAGCACAGAAATCGTACTGATCATCGCCAGCGGAGTCCACACACATCAGCCGGCAGTGCCAGCAGACCAGACCCTACACATGCGCTCTCGCAGCGACTCTGGATTTGGTTTTATCGCCCGACGACGAGGTGGCAGCGCGGTCATGGCCGGCGACACTTGGGAAGTGTGCTGGGATCGGGGTTCGGGATCGGGATCGTGATCAGCTTAGTTAGTTAGTTTTCAGACTGCTGGTTCACCAGTCAGAAGCAGAAGTGGAAACGCCAACACAGAGAGTGGCACGTAGAAATAGAGAGTGAGCGAGATAGAGACGCGGCTGGGCAGAGAGAAAGCTAAGCGAGCGGTGGAGAACGTGAGAACAGAGAGCGCGGGAGCGTCAGGCAAGAAAACAAGAACTGG